CCGCGGCCCCGATCCGTCTCCTTGCGCGCCTTGTTCTTGGGCTTCGGCTGGTCGTCCACGAGCAGGGTATCCAGGGGCAAGCTGTCGGGGAGGATGAAGTACCGGATCGTGGAGCCGCGGATGTTGATCGTATCTAGGGAGACGGGATCGCGGCCCTTGGGTGTCATCTTGACAGTGCGCAGAGAGGTGTTCATCTGAGGAGAGACGGAGGTGATGGTGCCGTGGAGGATTGTGCCTGTTTAATGCAGAGTGATCCGTCAGTCGCGCCGAACTCAAGTCACGGTGTGGCCGTGAACATGGGCTGGAGCCCAATCGCTAGGTCACAAGGAGGACCAACCATTCTTTAGTTCAACCGTCACCGTTTCATTGGCGCATTTCATCAAAAACCTAGGAAAAGCCAAATGTCAGTTCCTCTTCTGGTAGCCAGTGCTGTCGTCGAGACTCCGATTCAACTGCAATGTACTCACCGAACGAGCTTCATGTTGACGGATATTAATGTGCGAACACACGGATTCCTTATAACTGAAAGCTATGGAAAAAGCTGTAGCTGAAATAGACGAGGTAAAATGTAGAGTTGATCAGGAAGAGTGGCAGGTGTCTCCGCCAAGTCTCTTTGCGAATTGATGTCCTAAAAGTGATGGCGGCTCAAAGCTGATCCTGCGAGGAACGGCGAAGCTCGGAGCACGTGACCTCAATATCCTCAAATTGTCCACTAAGCTTTACATTCATTTCTAGATGGCTACGTTTCGAGCAGTCACATACCGCCCAAATACGAAAAGTATGCAGCACTCAATCATATTGATCTCGACTCATCGCTAAATGGTATCTCGTACAAGAAAAAGGCCAGCCAGTCCAACGCCAACGTCCACATTCTCCGAAACAGCCCTACAGAACACCGTGTCGCGCTTTGAATATAGCTATTTTATCATCGTAGAACAAGATCTCTCTGAGCTTGAACGTCGTCCGGGATCGAGTACAGTCAGAGCTGGATTCATCATCGGATGAAATCCCGTAGTCGGACAGCTCGGAGCCCGACTCCAAGACGCTGTCCATCCCATCTTCATCCTCGCTCTCATTCATGTCCGACGCTGGCCACGGTCCGCCCCCTGGAACAAACCCTTCACTGTGGCTATCGTCTGTATCATCTAGGTCGTCTTCCTTGTCGCCGCGCTTGCTCTCGACGATCTCATAGCACTTGGATTGAATTCCAATGTAGCCGATCCCAACCTCGGGTCGGATAGTCACAATATCCAAGATCTGCAACGCCAATTCTTTGGGGCTCCGATGAACGGGATTGGCAATGTGCGGGATGTGAAGAGCACGCAGATGAGGAATGTACGGAAGTCGTTGAAGGAAATAGTGCTAAAAGACTATCAGCGAACTGCTTTGAGCACCACGTGGATTGCAACTTACCCAGTCCTTGGAATTGATCGTCATGGACAGCTCACGCAGCTTTGGCATGCGTCCGCTGGTAATGAACGAGATCATTTTACGTGTCAACATCCACTTGCGCCAACGACTGGTGCCCACCTCAGTTCCGTTGGGCGATCGCTCGGTGCTATCGAGCAAGATCTTTTTCAGACTTAGGCGGTGGGCCCGTATGATATTCCTGTAGATTGCCTCGATATGGACAATAGAGTCATACAGGGGGGCCTCGTGCAGAAAGACGGTTTCCAGTGTGTTACGGGCGATGGCGTCCTTGATGAATAGCAGTAGGTAAGGGGAGACAGAGTCCGTATGAATGTGCTTTATCTTTAGAGGATACTCAGACTGAGAAGCCTGATCATCCTGAATCTTCGTATAATTTGAAGTATTTCGAAAAGCCGAAGGGGCATATTGTCGGCGGAGCGCCCTCCAAAGCTTTTCATGCCCGTCACACCGAAGAATAGTCAATGTGGTGACTCGTGTCCAGTCAATGACTTGTAGAAGCACAGGAATGCATAGGAAAATGCGCTCCAATTCAAAAATCTCTAGACTCAGAATTCGGTCAGATCCCGTTCCTGGACTGTAGCAAGATGCCGAGGGCATCTTGTCCGACGTCTCAGAGACAGCCTGTACTGTAGTTGATGCAGCGACTTTATTCCCCGCTAGACGATTCGGTGATTGGGACTCAGAACTAGTACTATCACCATCAGAGATTGTTTCAATCAACTCGTTGTGCGACATGACTTGCTCCCCGCTAGAAAAGGGTGCCTCCTGCTCATTCCCTTTCTTAATCGGGGAAGGTTGTACAGGAAACTTCCCGTGACCGAGATAAACTTGCCACTTTCCTGAGAGAATTTCCAGCACACCACCGGGCTTAGGCCAGTTATGTGGGCCCTCGTCGGACGCATCCCCCTGTGCAGAAACGGTGCTTCGAGGTTTCAGCCAATCGCACTGGTATACTCTCGAGGATATACCGATTCGCAGCTCAGTCAGACGATCTCGAGAGCGATCGATGAGCACGGCCATTTCTTCAAGATAAGATGGCTCATCGATGTCGAGCACACTGAGGCTTTTCAGAGGCGGCAGTATCGATAGAGAAGGATATTCAACATGCGAGTATCGGACCAGAGGTGACATTGAGGCGGAAGGAAGCAAACCTGACGGGGGGCGCATTGCATTCTCAGTGTTATCATGCCAGCGAACCCAGACGCGTTCCAGGCGGCAGTCACGCCCAGGGCGGTTAGCCAAGGACGAAAGGGCCATCCACACATCTCTCAGGACACCCGTCGGCATATCCCAGATAAACGTTTCCAAATTCACCATGCGAGCCACGGCCAGGGCAACAAGTGTCCCGAGCATCTTGCCTGTCTCTTTGGTCACAGCGTATTCCTGGACCCATGCCAACGGGCCATTTCCCACCGAGAACTTCCGAGTGTATTGAGCATAATAATTCCCCCGCCGCATATGCCGCATTGTACTCTGTTGTGTTGGTGCCTGCACAGATTTCCTCATAGTAATTGTTTCAGGTCTACTGGGCATCTGTCCATGCCGACCGTCGCAACCGCAATGCTGACAAGGCGAATGGCCTGCGGACGGAGTCTCGTGGAACATGTCTTCTCCCATCACCAGCGTTGCGAGGCCGTATGAGAGAGCGTCAACTCCAGCAGGATGATCCGAAGACGATAGAGTGTCGGGCCATACGATATCGAATCGAGAGTACATTTGGGGAATCGCCAAAGCATGGAGGGCAGAACACGTCAGAGCGAGAGATGTTAGATCGTTCGTGTGAGTCACCTGTAGAGTGTAGGAGGTTTTGATCAATACGGGACTAAGAGACAATGATCAACCGGGTCGAAGGCTGCAGTGATCAGGACCCAACTGATCAAAGCTAGCTTACCTCTTTTATGATGTCCTGGAGGACATCCATGGGCAAATCCAGTAAATGAAGCGGCTTCTTCGTGGTTGCCGCCGAAACCTCCCTAGTAGAACGCTTCGCCGTCCTAACGGCATTTCCATCATCATTGACGTTCTCCGATGTCGCTTGTCCCAAGGTAACAACTTGTGCAAGATTGTCAGCTAGCGACATGATGGCTTCGCAAGACTCATCCTTTCCCTGGGAGTGATACCCCGGTTGTTCTGCAGTTAGGGGATCGGGTATGAGGGCTGCTTCGTCTGACGGCTGTTCTATATCCTTATCCATTTTTATCTAGTGAGCACTGCTCAGGCTCGTGGTAGTAACCCGCGAACGTTCGCTTGCGCTGATATAGATGGAGCATCCACCAGGCAGAAACCAGAAGTCCTGGAGTAACAAATAAGGCTTTGGCGGGAACCCGCAGGGTAAAGGGACCGTCGGACAACACGGGATCGATCGACCAGCCGCAGGGACTGGTGGCAGGTTGGTAGGGTAGTAGTGCGTTCGTTGTCAAGTTTCACTTGTTGGATAGGGGAGGAGACTGGAAAGGTCTCCCCACAAACAGAGAAGTGATGCGTTCCACATAAGGTTGCAAAGGAAGCTGTTCAAGTGGATGAATAGCTGAAGAGCTAGGTTGTTTGGATGACGTGGAGTGGGACCAGGTGTACCATGAGTGTTGCTAAGGCACTAGGGCTGCCCCAGTCGTGACTTAGTGGGCCTTAGGCTTTACCCCGGACCTGCACGTGACGGTGCTACCCTTCACAACGAAGAATAATCACCCTGGTAATCCTATAACGTAATCGGTAAGCGAGCGGCGCGTGTAGGCGAGCGGCGCACCTCTGTATGCCATATAAAATGACACTTTTTAAGGCTACAATATCTTGAACAACGCAAAAGTTTAGAACAAGCTAGTAGATACTGTTAGCTTTTGTGCGCGTCTGAGTAGACTATTATTTTTTTCAGACTTTTTTTCAGTTGTTTTAATCKATAGTTACTGAGGAATTATAAAATACAAAAGATACCACTCCATTACATATTACCAAGAGGAATAACTATATTTAAGACAGCGCTTCTTTGCATACTTAAATTGCACTACTTATTTACTACGTATATGGAATTATATGCTCTCTTGATGTTTTGTTGTTGAGATATCGAGGCCTCAAAAAGTGTCATTTTCTATGGAATACAGAGGTGCGCCGCTCGCCTACATGCGCCGCTCGCTTACCGATTACGTTAACGTATTTCCCAGGCGAGCGGTCCACCCGGGCGAGCGGCCCATCTCTGTATTCCATATAAAATGGCAGCCTTCAAGGCTTTGAAATCCCAATCATGCTTATATATGCTATTTATGTAAGTAAGATATTCAGAGTATATATAGTCTAGAGCATATGAATACTCTTTCACAAGGCCTTAAAATACTATTTCTCTCTCTGAATGTCTAAGAAGCTAAATTTACCAAAAATGCAGGTGTAATTTATGTTACCTTAAGTATATACATATACTAGGAGGCTGTGGCTTATAAATATGATTCTATATGTCTATACTATACTCATACCTAAACTTGGACCCCGTAGATGCTTGGTTGTTGAGATATTAAAGCCTTGAAGGGTGCCATTTTATATGGAATACAGAGATGGGCCGTTCGCCTGGGAAATACGTTATGCTAATGGACACGTACTAACGAAAGAAGGCTTTCCAGATCCGTGCTTCCATCAGATGCCGGGCGTCTAATGTCGTCCCATTTACGCAGAAGTTCATCGATCTTCTCCCCCTGCCCCGACGCCTGAAGAATCTCGGCGATCGCCGCATGCGTCTCAAGGAGGACTTTACTGGGCAATTCTGAGGCGCTGTGCATGGTGAAGGTTATGGGCTTCTCATAGTATTGGTCAAAGAATCTCTGATGCCGTGGGTACACCTTGATCCTATATGTATTCTCTGTGTCCTGGTCAAGTAAGCATATAATAATTTTATGATTTGGAGAAACACATACGGTTGGTCTGAAGGCAATTTGAAAACTGCCAAAATCTTGATGGATTGACATGGCCATCGTCATCACATTTGCCGGGGTACTGACTGTAGTTGGCTTGATGATGTCCTTGATGCTGGGAAATAAAAGGTACAATGTTTCCCAGCATTGTGCGATTTCTTTCGCCTAAAGCACTTACTTAGAAAGTCTTTAACTGTACTTGGGATAGAAACTAACCTTCCGTTCATTGTCCCAGTGTCCCATAGAAAATGGGATTATATGCGCGAGCTGAGTATGGATTGTCATCTCGCCTTGAATTTTAAAAATAGAGTCTGCTACAGGATCCCAAATCTTAGTGACAACACATTGATAGTTGTCACGCTGAAAGCAGGTTTTCTTGAGCCATTCCTGATCATTTCCTGACAAGGGCAACGGGGTGACTTGTGGCGTCTTCCCACCTTGTGCCTTCACTGTTAGACAGAAGAAAATATTAGCCACACTATACTAGACACGAGGACACTGCATAGTATAATATGGAATAAAGATACATACTTGGGATGAGGACAGCAGTTCTGAGATGATGAGCCAGATTAGAAATATTGTGATCATCACTGATATTGATGAACTTCATGATGACTTTTCTGCTCTCGAATGGCAGATTGTCAATAAAGCTCTTGAGTATTTTAACTGTCTCATCTTTTCTATCTTGAGGCTTATACTGTGTGAGCTTCTCAATTGATGTTCTTTCATCAGAAACAGCGTCTCCTGATTTTGGAGACTCTGAGAGCTGCCTTAAAGTGGACATAACAGGATCTTCAAAGTCCAAAATGGCTGAAGAGATAGAACCGTCAGAATCAGCAGGTCAACATTCGCCATTGTCAAGCTCAAGATTGTATGATCGACAGAACGTGTCTATTCAAGATGATATGAAGAAAAACTATATTGTTGTTACAGGGAGAGGATTTCCACAGCAGTTGTAGCGACTGCTCAAGTCGAGGAGGGAGGAAGAGAATTTTTAGAAACACAACTGAGAGGAGAATGGCATCATAAATCATTCATAGTTCGAAGTATGACTTGGTGTAGACGTCAATACCTGAAGACCCTATTGCGGTAAAGCAACAAGCTGAGAATTTAACTCTAAGAGGGATAACTGACAAATTAAAGCAAACAAATACAACTCAAAACAAAAAGAACGATTGGAATCTAGTCATCCCGAGTATCATTTACTCTCCTATGGTTCCGAAGATACGACATTACAGACTCTGCCAACAAAGCCCCCAAGCCCTAAAGGTGGTGCGGAGCCTTGCGCAGGCGACAACGCTGTAGAAGTGCCAGGTACGACAAGCACACGAGAGCCGGCTTCCACCCATTCAACCGACGTAACAAACGAAAATGAGATTTTGACATCCCCCTGAGTTGTATTCTTGGCCGAATTGACCACATTATTCACTTCTGATGCATGACCCTTCCCACGATCAACAACATCGCTGTCAAAGCTGAAGAAGTCCGGTTCCGTAGGCGATGGGGGAGAAGAGATAATCTCATCCTCCGCAAGAGTAACACAAGTCACCTTCACCGTAGCGCGGATATTGGAAACATAGGCAATAGCGTTGCCACCTAGCAGTAGAGGCGGAGACACGGACGACGTGAACTCGCTGGTGGGGAAGCTAGCAACAAATCCGGTGTGGAAAAGCGAAGGTTTTGCGGGCGAGCCGCTGGGGGCAATGTCGGCTAGGATAGCCCCTTTTCGTACCTTTCCCAAACGCGGGGTTTGCTCGTTTTGGGTTGGAAGGAGCTCAATACCGATCGTGCCGACTTGATCTTGAATGAGAGTTCGCACCGGTAACCGGAGGTTCCGAACACTGACGACTCGCACACGTTGCCAGATTGCTTGAGCGGGGAAAGTCGCTTTCCCGGACAAGAATCCTTGTGAAAAAGACGTAGAAAACTCCTCAGATGGCGGTCTGCTTCGCCCCGATTGACTTCTTGGTGCTGACAAGAGATTCTCGGGCTCGGCCTGTGGATTGGCCAGTAGCGGTCCAACCAAGAGTTCGTCTCCAACCGAGATTGACCCGTAACGAACCAATCCACATAGAACAACGCCCTGATTTTCCCTTGCGTTCTGCTCCATCGACGTAGAGTAGACTTTGGATGGGGGAATGGTAAACACTTCATCGATGTCGAACAAATTTGCGGGAATATGCATATCTGACAGTGTCTCGCCTAGGACGGTGCTCCTTAAGGACGGCCTTTGAGGGATAGGAAGATATCGAAGAAAAGCATGCAACTTCCCTACACCTGTACCGCTGACAGCGCTCGTCAGAACGATCGGAACTGTTGATGACCAGTCATTATTCGCTGCATCAATGACTTTCCTGACTTCATCTGCATCAGTCCGGCAGATGTGTTGGAGGTCCACGTCCTGTTCACCGGTAGCGGATTGCACAGGCAACATAGCAGGTTTTTTGCCCGCCAGTTTCAGCGCTGACAAGACTTTCGTGAGATTGCCCCGCAGGCCTGCTCGAGATGCAACATCCAGCTTGGTGATAACTACCACGGTGGGTATCCCCAACTTGATGCACAGATCCAAGTGTGACAGAGCGAGATTGATTTCTGCCATCTGTTCTGCAGCGCCACCAACAGGTTCCGGGACCATTTCTTCGTCACAGTTGGCCGGGATACAGAGCAACACGTAGTGAGGTGCCCAACTGATCAATCCTCTCAAAGTAGACTTGAGGTAGCGTACAGAGCCAGGGAGATCTGACACAAATGCCAGACGACTATCCTTCGCCGTGGCATGGATGTCGTCCCAAGCTGCAACATTTCCGGACGCATAGTTGATCACCTCAACGGGATCATTAGTTGACTCTCCATTCGCATAGCCTACAAGTTCCTGGGCAACAGAGCTAGTGATCCCGGACGAGATCTCGTGGCGGTGTTTGAGAAGGCTCAATCGACTTGCCCCTCGACCATTGTCGAGTATTGATGATGTCAGAGTACCCAACAGAGACGACTTGCCGGCTGCAGTCGGGCCAGTAATTGAGATCCGAATCTGTTCGGTCGTAGAATGGTTGTCCTCGCGGATAGAGCTCGTTTGGGTATCGCACGAGGTAGTCTGCCCATCGAATCCGTCACGGTGCGATATTAAGCCGTAGTACTCCAAATCGGGACTGACCAGGGCTTCAGCGACCCAGAGGCTTTCTGTGTGGACTTTGCCAGTATGGGCTGCTTCAGCACTTGTGTCTTCCGGCCATTCGGCCCATTCGCATTTGCCGACGATGACTCTGCGAAGAATCTCGACCCTGCAACCCAAACTAGCCGCCATGACCTGCAGATTGGTCAAGCTCTCGTCCAACTCATCTTGCGTTAGTCCAACGAAGGTCCCATCGTCAGCCACGCCAATCTCATACAAAGCCCCCTGACTCTCCTCCAAGCCAGGAATTAAACGAGCCGGTTTCTGCGGGGTACCAAGCTGAGGAGTTGCCTCCGGAAGAACGGGCAACACAAGGTTGGCAGTTGTAGACGAATGGAACGGTGACGACTGTTGCAGACGCCACAAAAGTTGAGTCGTTAACTGCTGCAGGCGCTGCTGGCGGCTCTGCGTTGAGCGAACCTGAGCCGATCTCAAGTTCGACTCGTAGCTGGACGGTGTCGGTCCTGAGGCGGACAAGCTTGCGCGAGAATGATACGAACCGCCAACCACATGACCAGTCGTCATGGAATTGTAGAGGCGACGGGACCGCAAAAGTAGATGCAGCTTGTACTCAGTGGGTCCCTCTTGCGGTTCGGGCTCCAGTTTCGTGATCCCATAGTCAGACAGAAAGTCTGGATCCACACGGTCCAATTCCGTGCCAGAACGCGTCCGGATCGCCAGGCCACGATTCCCACTCGCCGTAAGCTGGGGAGTAGACGACCCCGACGTCGACCAAGGCGAGGAAACCCTTGGAGGGTCCGGGTCATAGGTGAAAATAGATGCCATGATTCACACACTTGTTTTGATCCGCGTTGAGTGACCAAACCAAGAAAAGAGGTAACAGTCTCCGAAATGTTTGGCCTTGAACAACACAAAAAAAGGAGCCTTATATTCGTATCAGTCGAAGTTGCAATATGCACACATTCAAGAGGTTAACTATGTGTCGATGAGCGAAGTGTTTTTCACATATGCCGAGGAGTTTCTGTATTGATAAAGTCATCTTGCGAATCCAAGATTAATGCGATGGAGAGTATAAATCCGTAGGCTCAAAACAGCCACGAGAATGAAGAGGTAGGAGTCCTTTTGATGAGCAGCTGGGAAGAATACAAATCAATCGCAATTTGAGAATTGAGCTACAAAGCGGACGACATCGTGATGGGACAGAATGAGTCACAAGTGCTTGACATGCTGATAATCAGCCTAGTCATGATTCCATCCCATTTGTACACTTATGACACGACCAGATCAGGTGATTGGTGAGGTAAGCACCACGTGCATCGAGCTTGGTTTCCTGGTCAAAAGAACACACAGTATAGACTACTGACAACTCTGGCCTCTACGGGTCCTTGAATAGTTCTACTCAGCATGAAGTTCTTTTGAAATATGGCCCGACAATTGTTGCTGCTTGTTTTCAAAGCTATTTTAGATCTGACTGTGGACCGAGTAGCCTTCTTCAATGTGGTGATACAGGCTCATCGCTAACCTAAATTCCCAAATGAAAATTTCCCAAAATCCAGATTGATGAATGATAATCATGAGCTTTCACGCTTCCTGTGTCTGATTTCAGGAGTTATCTGGCGTAATGTAATGCAAAAGAAGAACTTTGAGTGCCTGCAGTCGTCTGATCTTCCATGCATTGGGAGGACTAGATTCTGAGGTCACGATGCGGTCGGCTGTGACCTTGGCTTGGTATTATAAAAATAAAGAGGTACTAAACGCTGGGCTATGAAAGATCAATCTGTCGATGACTCTCTTCCACTTTTGCACTTTCCCTGAGCGACGTGGATATTGCGGGCTGTTGTGCGAGTGAAAACGGCACCACAGCTCGGGCATTCTGCCTTTGCAACCACACCCGATTTCTCTCTTTGATGACGGAGTAGATTGCTGAAGGTCGAGAACTCACGACCATTGCACCCATGGTCCCAACACTGTGGCTTTGGCCGTGAGCTGATTACTCGTACTTGGCGATCCACGTCTGAGGATGCAGGGACGGATTCGGGGGACGAATATAACGACTCTGCGGGCGCCACAATGTGCGCTGGAGGACTGACTGACATTGGGTTCGGATGTGGCCTGCAATAAGATAGCTCAGTCAGCTGACGGCCAGTTGAGA